GCCCATGAATTAAGATCATGAGTTGGAAACACCACTCCGTGCACTAAGAACAGAAAAGGACTAAAGAAAAGGCCAAAATCCCAAGTCCATTTCTTGGGTCCACATGGCCTAAAAGGGGAAGGAAGAGGTGTGACCCTTTACCTTATGATGTGAGTGAAGTGGTTCTTTCCTTTCAGACAGGAATGCAGAAAAAAGCAATTTTAACATCCTTTGACTTCAAAGCCTGTCACACATGGTTGCAGTACTATGAAACAGTTGGTTTGTTGGTTGCAGGCTGTCTGTATGATTTCTTGACTAGGCCTAAACCTATTTGGCTTCCCATGGGCCCCAAGAGCCACACTACCCGGGGACAAAAGTAGTGGAATCTTTGTGATAGTTATTCATCTTGATAAGAATAATCAGTTGTTACTTATTAGAGGCTTCATCACCCGAAGTTTTGACATGGACAAATTTTATTTTATGTTACAGTATTGGGGCACTTTATGGCAAGGTGGAGGTCACCCAAAATTTGCATTTACACGTTAAATTCCACAGCAGTCTCTAATATATTATATGTGTGTATGTATGTGTACATACATACACACATATGTATAGATATATACACACATATGTATATATACATACATACATTTTCTATTATGTATGTATATATACACACACATTGTGCTCCAGATAGGAGTCAAAGGTCTGGTTTGCAACTTTGGAGATGATTTATACTGTAGTCTGAAGGATGCAATAGCAATGAATCAAATCTTAATGCTAGATGTAAATTTTTATAAATATCTGTGACTAACTACAGGTCAAGGTGATGTATAGATGTTATTTTATTTTTTTAAAGTTTATTCAAAACAGTTCTACTTCTAAATAAAAAGATATAGAAACATTCAACTTTGTACCTATAATTCAGATCTCCACAGTGGACCTATTCCATTGCCTCATGGTGTGAAGGTAACAGCCCTGGATTTTCAAAGGTTACTGCTCATGAGGCACAGTCTCTGGTGGTCTACAAAGAAGTGAGTAACACCAGTATGCCTGGCATTCTGGGTCTCCATTATTGGAGGACCAGCTGATATAAGTTTAAGAGGCTGATCACCAGAAGGCTGGTCAGATACAATGAATATTTTTAAACAAGTAACTCACAAGAGATGAGGCATGGGGGATGGTTAACATCTGCTTTAGTGGAGATAGTACCTACATTCAGGAAATCTTAGATCCTACAAAGTGTCAAATAACTAACAAACAGATCTGTTACATAACGAGGTCTTGTTTTCTACAACGTTAGGGGCCTTATATGCAGTTAATATTTGTTCGCATTTTTAGCAATGGTGCAGCAGAATAATAAGCCTGTATGTTACATGACTATGAATGGCTTTTTAAGCAGACTAATAGTGTGTTGTGAAATGAGAGCACAACATACATTTAGTGCATTTTCTAGGCACGTGTTTATATTTTTGTTTTGTTCCAAGCTTAGAGTTACTGAGTCTAGGACTTGAGTGAACTTAAATCATTAACTGCAGGACTACTGTGGTGGCACAGGCTATAACTGAGGTGCATTGTTAAGATTCATTATTTCTAATAATGCATCATTGAAGTTTTTAAAACTATCATTTAAACAATAAAAGATTTTTTACATTTTATACACAGCTTCTTGAATGAAAAACATTCAAGTGAAACAAAAAAGATTATCTTAATTATACAGTACCTGATTTGTTTTTTGGTGTATTTGCATATTGCATCCAAAACTACAGATTTTCCACAGTGCTTTTTTGCCTTATTCAAGTATAATAAAAGTAGGAATCTATAGAAGCTCTAGGGTTAAACAAACTGTACATACATACAAGAAAAATTAATCTAATTTACAGAGAATCAAAAAGTATAAGCAATGCCCTTTATGAACCTTAGCAAAGACATATCACAATAAGGGATGTCACAATCTGAATATGTGTTCACCGCCATAAAAATACTATGTAATTTAGATGGTGCAGACACGAATAATATGCTTAGGAATTACCTGACAAATGCAGCAACTAGAATCTTAAATGTACATTTGAATAAGCATATTAGCTACCAAGTACAATGCTTTTGATTCATGTACTAAATGTATTAATCTTAGGTACAGTATTTTCTTATTGCATATTTTTCTGTTGCTAAGACCATTATGACACCACAATATGACATATTAATTTTAAATAAATGAAAACATACCTGTCTACCAACAATGTACACCACATACTTTTATAATCACAATGAACAATGCTACATATTTTTAATAACTGAAAAAATATGACCTTTATCTGCTAGAAAACAGATCTACATATTTGTGTCAACTAAATTATTCAAGAAAAAATATTGCACAAAATCCTATTAATTCTGAAATCTAATACACTTCCCTATAAATCCATATAATTCCCTAGTTACAACTGGATTAAAATATTAATTAATTTGCTCAAAAAAGCAACATCACCTCTTAAAATAAAAAAAATACAGTAACATTATTATTGGAATCTAGATGGGAAAGGTGTCAATACTGATATAAGGATTTTTTGAAAGTAGTTCCTACCTTAGGAGTGTGTGGAGGGGGGTTTTGGGGGGTTCTTTGTTTTTGGCAATAAGACTTGGGAATTTATTTAACATTCTTGAATTTATTTTCTGATTTACTAAGAAGCAAGGTGTTTCATAGAGAACAAAGAAGGACAACCTTAATAGCTGACTCTACAGTAGCTACTTTGTTTAGAAGAAAAATAAAAATCTTAAAAAAACCCCAAATTTATAGTGTTTCTCTCTTAGCAAATATAGTCTCAGCTTTTTCCCCCTTTGTTATGAATCTGCCCAACTCTCTAAAAAAAACAAACATGCAATTCAATGGCATTCCAGAAGGTATATAGTAAGGCTGCTACAGCATTAACTAAAAATTATGCAATAGACACAAGGATGAATGTGTCTTCACCGATAGACTAAGAGGCAATCCATAGAAAACGGATCCTCTATCAATCTGAATTTACCATATTGACTTAAGAAACTAATCTATATTTTTTTTTCCTAGAAGGGGAGGAAGTTTCTGTTTTTCTTGATTAAATTCTTATAATAGTTTAATACAATGTGCTAAAATAATATTCTCATTCACATTTTAAAAGGACTCTGATAATAGCCTTAAATGACAGTCCTGGAAGTCCACATTATAGTAATTAGCATATTAGACTGAAAAGAGAGCTTAAAACTGGGAATACCTTCTAAAGGTCTTTACTCACAGGGCTCTTTAATTTGACCAGCTACAGAAGCCTTTTCCTTCTCTTTCTGAGAAAACTTTGGGTCTTTTAGTGACTTCTATATAAAATACAAGGTTTTCTTTTTTAAATTGATGGTCACAGTTCTTAGGTAATTAATGGTTATTAGACTGAATTAATATTACCTTAAGGATGTGAAATGCTTTCCATTTTACATTAGATTGCAAATTCCTTGAGGGCAGGGATTGTCATTAATACAGCTTTATAAATCCTCCATAGTCTAACCCAGTACCTTTATACATACTTGGTACTCAAATAATATTTACTGAATGACGGAAACATTAATTATTTAATCAGAAAAGAAAATCCTGTTCTATATTTATGGTTTTACATTTATTCAAAACGATATAATCACTAAATGTGCCATTTTTTTGATTAAACAAAATTACAGTTTCTAAGTCTGCATTTTCCTGTTCCTAACTTTTCTTTCCCTTCTTCTTTTTCAAAAATAGAGTATAAATGATCCACAGGACAACTGGATCAGAGTCTGAAGCATACAGGACTCTTTGTTCATAGGAATTAAATAATGGCCAAGACTTTGTTGAGGAAGGATAGCAAAATCAAAAGTCAGTCCTTATTAAGCAATATAATCCTAATTCTAAAAATTCTTTCATGATAATTTTCTTCCATAGAAGAGAGAAATTATAATTTCAACTTCTGTTTCATCATCAGTTATCAATAATTTTAGAAAAGGAAGAAAAAAAGAAATTAAGAATAGTTTAATTCCTGTACTATTCTTATTAGACTACCTACAACACTATGAAGACTACTGACCTATAAATATAAGTATAAATTAATGCCTTGAAATACCAGTGTTCACTACTTTTTTTGGCTATTTTGGTAGTAATAAAGGATTTTAAAATTATGGATAACTACCAATTTTATATTTTTAAATAAGGCACAAATGTTAGCCTTTAAAATATCATTGAAACTAAAAAAATAACTTAAACAATCTTAAAAATGTACCTTAAATCACTTAATCAAATATGTAACTTAGATATTTATGGCAAAACATTTTTCAACAAAATGATCACATCTGTATAATTGCCCACCTTGTACACTGTCTGAAGGATTTAGGAGGCAAACATAGGTCATGGGATACAATCATGATTCATGCAATTAAGCAAATGGACGAAAATGAATTTTACATATCCTAGATTTCAGTATTTTTCAAACTTCAGAGATATGAATGATTCCTAAAGCAATAATTTACATCAAAATTTATTTTTAAGAACCATATATCTCAGTTAACTGTTTTTTGCAAATAGTAAAGTGGGGCTTGCTGATTAAGGTAGGTGATGTAATTTGCTTTTCAGAAATTGTTTAACAATCCTACAGTTCTTTTCTATTATTTAAAAGCAAATTCACAAAATAAAATCTTTTTACTGCATATAACCTTAATGAATTATAACTGTAATTTGGAATGAGCAGATTAAGGCAATATTTGATAAAGCCTTGAGTTTTTGTATTATAAAAAGATATTTCAAAATTTTTTTCTTCAGTAAAGGTACACAGTTCACATTATTCTTTCCATTTGAAACCTAAATGGATGTAAAAATGTCTACTGTAATTTTGGAGTGTGGACAGGAAAAAAAACATAACCCTTGCTGTGCTCAAATATTTTAAAGACAAATTGTAAAAAAAAAAATTTTATATTTCTTAAAAAGATCTTTGGCAACTAAAAAAATGTACTTAACTAAAACCAAGCATATGTGGAAAAAGTATTCTTTTAGTAAATATTTCATAGTGAAGGTCTAATGTTTATTGGACTGCCTCTCAAAATCCTCCAAGTAAACTGTTTAGTTATCTTTTCCTAAAAATACTGTCCATTTTTTTTATTTCTAATGATGTAGTTGTATATTATATAGAAAAGTTGCAGAACCCAATTGAAACGTAACATTTCACTGCTTTTTCTAGCTGTACTTTTGGATCTATCCTATACTACTATGAAACAGATCATTATTCCTTTCTAAAATCCAGGAAGATGTTAAACCTAATTCAAAATTTCAAAATCCAGAAAGATGTTAAAATTCAAAGTAAATGGTATTTCAAAAGATTGGTTCATAAAAATAAAATAAATCTTAGCAACATAGTCTATGAATTCAGTTAATCCCATATTTCCCTTTCCAAGACTCCTCGATAGTAGAGATGTACATGGGGACAGTAGAAACTATTTAAAGTGTCTCAGTTGTAAACAGAAGTTCACTGACTTCACATTATGCCTTAGCACTTCATATACTGAGTAAAAGGTAAGTTCATACCTTTCAAATTTTGGAAGACATGGCCTTATTTTTCTTTCTATAACTCATATGCAACATTTCTATGAGATTCTTTTAATTTAAAAAAAGTACTTTTGGCCCTTGAATCAATGCATAAAAAGTCATTATTGCTCTTGAGAACATTTGCCTTCTGAGACAATTAAGTATAGTATCATAAATCACTCATGATCATTGTGTAATATTTAATATAGGCTTAAGATTAAGGCAATTTGCTGATCAGTATTTTAAGAGTTTCAGGCTCATTTTATAACAACTTGTTCAGCTCATGCTCAACCAAAGGGATGCAGTACTAATTGGTTATCTGAAAGTCATATATGTTTCCCTCTGGATAAATGAAATGGATGACATTAAGCACCATATTCCAGGGGCAATCATGCTAAATATGTAGACTCAACAAACTAGTACCTGATCTAAAAGCACAACATCACAGTTGGCTTTATCTTTAAGACTCCAAATACCAAATCAATAGCTGAAAATAGCCATGAAATTACTGAACAGGCGAAATTCATGTACCAAACCAAACAGTATTTCAAAATTAAGAGAGTTATGATTCCTACAAAACCTGTTTAATATATAACTTGAAAGTCTAAGAGGATTCCTTATGAACTTTTGAAGGAAGTGATCTCCCCTTTGACAACCAACTTAAGTTTTATTTCCGCTGCTGTTATCCTCTGAAATGTTCAAACCATGATGGAAAGCAGATGTCATATGACATAATGTCACGACTTCATGAAGTAGTCCAACCTCTCCAGAAGTTTCCTTTGCTTCACTCCCATCTTTTTCCCAGGGAACTAGAGTAGATAGATGTCGTCTAAGGCTGAGATTAAGTTGATCATCTGAGGTATGGCTTAGTGTTTCATTATTTTCAGTTTTTCCTTGGAAAGGACTATGTGTTTGTGAATCTTCTGAAGAATCAAGTTGTAAAACTGATTCTACAGGAGAAGTTGAATTTACCATCATCGTTGGGCAATTCACATTGTTGGCACTGAGGTGTTTTTCACTGTTTTCCTCTTTCAGAATAAAGAGAGATTCTGTTAAACCAGCAGAAGAAGCATGTTTTCTTGGGGATGGTGGGAGATGTTTTCCATGGAGAGCGCTATCATCCTGACCAAGATTCCATTCAGCTTGATCATTAGAACTGCCACAAAGTATAGCCAGATTACTCTCACTAGGTGCATTGGATTTGTTCTGAAAGAATACACAATTTAAGACATAAATTTTTTTAAAGAAAACTTCATAGCTTTTCCTTGGCATTTAAAAAATTTCAAAATAAATGTTCAACTCTATAAAGAATGTAACTGAAGGTGTTAACTAAATTCTCCCAAATTTCTCTATTGGTACTGATAAGAATGAAACAGAAGTTAAACTTCTATGCCTATACTATTTTTGGACTTCTCACCTTGGAACTTACACATTCGATGTCATATGGGGTAGATGTTTGGTCTTCTCTGGTAACAAAACAAGAGTCATAATCTTATCATTTCTGCTAGTTATTTTAAAATGCAGTATGCAGACTATTATTAATCTTTAAGCTAATAAAATGGGAAGCTATTTATAAATAAATAAATGTCAAAATCTCTCTGTGTTAATATTATCTGGGAACTCCAGAGCAACATACTTCATGTAATTGTTTCCCCAAAGAAGACAAGTATAAAATGGACTGAAAGATAACGTTTTTTGTTTGATGGAAAGAAATCTAATTAGTGACAGCAGTGACTTGAACCAGGGAACCTACAGGGAAATATTAGCATTTGATAACTAAGCATAAATTTAGGTAATAAAATGGCACCATATTTTTTGAAGTACTGGTATTTACCTAACACAGCATAACATAAAATGACTTTAAACAATCTACAGATTTTATCATAGGCCCAGACAATCACAGCAAATGAAAAGGAGTATCAGGTAGTCTGTAATCTGAAACACTGAATTGCAAAAGCAAAAAAAAAAGAAAAGACTAACCGTAGGCTTGTAATCAATATCATCCATTGATCTAAAAAAATCCAGGCTCTTTGCTGCTGATAGCTTTCCTTGATCTGAGCTATGTGTACTCAAAGTATCAAGGATTTCTCCTAGTAAGTCCATTTCACCTGGGTAATGAGTCTTTACTCTAGCTTCAACAGAATCATCACTCTCATAAAAATAAGCAGAAGCTTCCTCACTGTCTTCCGATGATAACCTAAAGAAAAAGAAAGGCTAAACTGAAGGTATGCAAAAAGATAGTTTCCAGATTGCAAAATCTGCATGTAAACACCTTTTGATCAATTATAACATTCATGATTAAACTTTGAATCAAAGAGTATGTTTCAACTGAACCAAAAGTTTTTGAAGGACAGGGACTTTGACTTTTATAACAATTCAACTTTTGTTGAGTTTAATGGAATGCAAAAATAGACAGAAGCTATCCTAAGGCACTAAGACTTTAGGTTTGAGAATAAATACAAAATCTTCAACTATAATCAATCAATACATACTTATTAAGCACCAACCACTATAATAGGTGCTCAAGACACAAAGACAAAAATGAAATTGTTACTGCCCTCAAGGAACAAACATTCGATAGGGAGAGACAAAATGTAAACATTAAAGAGTATACAAAATAAATACAAGATAATTTTGTGAGAGGAACACTAGCAGTTGTGGGGGAGGGATCAGAAAAGACCCCTTGAAGAAGGTAGCAGTCAAGCTGAGCTTTCATGTTGACTAGGCTATATAAGAGGTAGAATTAAAGAGGAAATGCACTCCAGAAAATGTGGAATTCCTGTGCAAAGGGAGATGGAATGCTATGTGTGAGGAACAGAAAGGCCAGCTGATCATCTGGTCTGCCTACCTTCCTTTTTTTCATTCCTTCCTTCCTATCTCTCTCACTTTATTTATTTTGATATTGAGTCTCTCTATCTTGTCCAGGCTTGCTATGAAGCCATAGCAATTACTATGGCCTCATCCTACTATTTATTGGTCCTTTAACCTGCTCTAGTTCACTCTTTTTTAGGTAGTGCAGTGCTCTTCACTCTCCCCAACCCAAAGGAGGTAGGGGGCTTACCATACTAATGTCCTTAGTGCAGATACTTGATTGGCTCTTGTCCTACTGTAACTCAGAAGTCCCAATCTTAAGAGAACCACTAGACTCGGTCTCTCCTAACAGAGATTACAGGCATGTGCCTGGAAAGATCTAGTTGTTTTTAAGACATTACGGTTCTGAAATATCCACTAAGACCCAAAGCATCAGTTACTGTAAGACCTCAGGCTATATGACAACAAGTAATTTACTCACTTGCTTGCTCTGTCCATGTCATCATCTTCATCTTCAAATAGGACACAGTCAGTGCTTTTCATTGGTCTTTTTAAGCGTGCCTAAAAGTTATGATTAATAATAAATGATCAGTTTATATGTAACTTCTAGAACAATATTACTTTGAGGAAGAGTTGAAAAGAAATATCCATTCAGGGTTGTTTACCAAATAGTCTTGCTTAATAACTAGTTAAGATTAGAGAACTGGGCAGCTATTTCTTTAGTAATTTCATCATAAAAATCCCCTAACACCTCTCCTGCAAATATGTGTGTATATGTCTGTATGTGTATATTGTGTATATATGTATATACATTTCATTCTTAACTTATAAATAGTGCAGATAATCCATTTCTACAACTAAGTAAATAGAAGTATTAAAAATCTAACCCTCTGCCTGAAGCATCATTTGAGGTAACTGCCTTTTATTCCTTAATTCAGAACCACTGGGAAGTGTCCAATGAAGAAAACTGATAAGCAACTACAAACCAGGAGTATCTAGGATGCTGCCTAGTGAGTTATACCTCTACTTCCAAGATAGACAAATAAAGAAGCATTTATTTATTTACAACATGTAGGCACTGTGTTGAGCTGGAAATACAAATAATAAGCAAGGAATACCTCAGAGAGCTTATATTCTAATGGGAGAAGACAATAAAGGGGGCTGGAAGTCTGATAATTTGTGTCATTGATTCATGTCATAATCCAAGCATTTATTTCACATTTATTACATTCACAGTATTATGCTAGGCACTGTGGATACATAGACAAAACAAAAAATTCTAGCTCTCAAGTGCCTTACATTGTACTAGGAGAATACAACTCATACACAGATAAATATAGAATAATTTGAGGAGAAAGAGTGCTAACAATAAGGAGGATGAGGAAAGGCTTTCTGTTGGAGGTTGCCCCAATCTGGGTCTTGAAGTAAGCTAGAGGTTCTAAGAGGAGAGATGACATGAGAGAGCATTCTAAGTATGCTGGTGCAAAGGAACAGGGGCACGTATGGAGAACAGTGAGGAAGCCAGCCCTCCTGGAGGGGAGAGGGTAGGAAGAGGAACAATAAGGAGGGAGAGAGAGAGAGAGAGAGAGAGAGAGAGAGAGAGAGAGAGAGAGAGAGAGAGAGAGAGAGAAGGGAGCTAGATTGTGAATGACAGGAAATGCAAATTAGAGGAGCTTGAACTTCATTCTTAAGGCAACACAAAGTCATTGCAGTTTAAGAAGAGAAGTGACATGGTGAGACCTGCCCTTTACAAATGAAAACCTGGCAACTGGGTGAAAGATGAATTATAGAGGAGAAAGACTGGATTAAAGAAACCATATAGAAAACTCTGCAATAGTCTAGGTAAGAAGTGTTGAGGGTCTGGATTATGGTGGTTATGGTGTGAACAGAGAGAAGGGCAAAGATTTGATAGATATTGAGGAAGTGGAATGGACAAGACTTGGTAAATGAATGGATATGGGGGTGAGGGAAAGTTAAGATTTGAGGCTGAATCTTAAATTGTGAACCCGAGTAACTGGAAGGATGGTGGTTTCCTTAGTAGAAATAGTGAAGGTAATGGAAGAGCAGGTTTAGGGGAAAAGAGAATCAGTTCTGTTTCAGACATGGTGAATATGAGACATCCAAGTAGAAATGTCAAACAGGAAACTGGAAATGTGGGACAAGAGCTCAAGGGAAATAAAGATTAAATATATACATTTGAGATTCATCTGCATAGGGATGAATGATAGATTACTCCATGGGAGCTGAAGAGATCACATAGATACAAGAGGACCCATGACAGAACTCTGTGGTACGCTCATGGATAGGGGGGTAGGACATAGATGATGAACCTGCAAAAGAGATTCAGAAGTATCAGTCCAAAAAGTAGCAAGAGAACAACAGTGCAGTGTCAAAAAAAACCCCAAACAAACAAAAAACAAACCAACAACAAACAAGGAAGGAAAATTATCAGGGTAAGGAGAATTAAATTTTTAAGAATTAAGTTTCCTGCAGGGAAGACATTAAAGATGTGGACTGAGGAAAGACCATTGTATTCATCAATGTCAGGGAGGGAATGTCCATGGTAGGATAGACTAATTAAACTAAGGGTTCTGTTTTCCCTTAAACCGTCAACTCCAACCATTTGTTTGGCTAGTACCCTGATTTTATTAGAACCACTAGTGTTTGACTTTAAAGCATGATGAGTTTGAATTTCACAAGTATGTTTGAATTTTACTTTTTTATCAATGTACAGTGTAATGGACTAGTAATCAATACATAGTATCTAAAAAAGTGACTAGTTTTTACAAAAAAATTAGAAATAAATGAATAAACTGTTGCCCCTTTTATATTATCAGTCTCTTACAATTTAATAGACTATACAAACAATTAAAATTTTAAGTATAATTTAATATTTGATCCATTAAACATTTACTGGACATCTACAGGACACTTAAAATTTTGGAGAAATCAGTTGCCTACTTTGAAACAGTATCTATTTTAAAATTTAGATATTGAAGAATGTGTTTTAGTTACTTGCACGCTGTAGTAAGAGCAACTGTAATATCTAATACCTGGTGAGGAATGTTCAGGAGGTGAGAGTATTGGTTTTCTTTTAATTGTAAGCACAACATAACTAAGTCAATAGAAGAGAAAATTATTTAAAAATAAATAATGCCAAATGACTAATGGGGAAAAAAGAACAGACTTGATGAAAAAAAAAACAACTTCTGATTAATAGTGAAAAAAAGTTTTGCCTCTACCTTGTGAGGCTTTTTTGTCCAATATGCAAATTAGCAGAAGTGTTTTCTATGAAAATTTTCAACTCATATTATGACTGACTATTATTTCCAGCAAATTATAGGGGAGACAGTGCCCTATGGCAGAAAGAGACTTAGTTTTGGAGTCTGAGGACTTGGGTTCAAATCTGGCCTCTGACTGGTTACTCTCTGTGTCATGGTGGGCAAGTCCTTATCCGCCCTGGGCCTCAGCTTCCTCATCTGCAAAATGAAGTTATTTTAGATGGCCTTTAATATCACTTCTACCTCTAAATCTATAATACTATTATCTGTGGCACTGAAAAAAATGTTACATATATTCAGGTGGAATAATATATTAGAACATTATATGAGAAAATACAACATAGGAAAAATGACTCAAGTTATAACTTTGAAAATAGAGGTCAGCAGAAAACTGAGATTGAATTAATTTATATTACAGAAAATTCACTACATGTGGAGCTGCATATGTAAAATATGAACAAGAATAACAAACATTGGCTAATCTAGCTTTCTTCAATATTTTTACAATCCATATTAAAGAAATCATGAGTTCCAATAAAACTGTCTATAAATGAGGGGAATGACAATCTCAAAAGTTATAATGACAGGAAAAGATTTCGTTTATCTATTTGTGCTGCCTGTCTTTGTGGAGAATAACTAGGTACAGGTATCAAAGGAATGAATTATGTATTAGCAGAGATCACATTTGGTTAGAAAATAATTTTATTACAGATATAGACAAAAATCTCAAATTAGCAAGTGTATTATGATCTTTCTGAGGGTCAATAAACACTTTTACCATAAAATATCAACTAGAGCTCCTTGGATAGCACCAAGCCAGTCAAAACACAGCACAGCACGCATTGGTGAATGGTAGATTTTCTTTTAAAGTGCTAATAAAACAGACAAGGAGGGAAAGACAGGCACAGATTGCATATGAAAAAAAAAGAGGAAAAGAAAAGAAATAAAAATTCTTAACAAATTTCAAAAGGAACATTATAAATATTTTTTCAAAGTTCTGCTAGATGTTGCAGCATAATACATGCAGCTGCAAAATCTGTCAGACATTTAGACAAACCTTCCATTGCCTCTATACCCTGCTGTTTGCAGTTATTTAAGCTTTTAGTTTCTGTCTTTTCTGCATTGTGAAGTGTGTGCTACTTCTCCCATAAATTTCATGGAAGGAGAGCCTCTGTTTCTTTCCTGATCTGACTTATATTAGCCTCTTTACTTACATTTATTACCACAAGAAACAAAACCCCAACATCCATTTTTTTGTTGCTCTATAATACTATAGTCTTACTAGAATATAACAGTATCAGTTGTATATTCATAAAATCAGCAAGTCTAAAATTCATTGTTTCCAGAAAGAATATTATATTGATTTTTAAAGATGACTAACTTCATTTTTTAAAGAGAATAAAGTAGTCAGATTCTAGTTATAAAGTTTGTATGACTTTAGATAAGTATCTTCCTTAAGTTCTCTATGGAATGGGGACAATGACTAATCATTAACTGTTTTCGGTAGATTAATGAGTTTTTGCAATATGATGAGAAATACTGAAGAATATGACATAGAATGTGCACAAATTATTTATACCAAGACTATCGATTACAACCTTTTACCTCAACCAGAGCTGTTTACATATTGTTGATTGTAGCTAGGTAGTGTAATAGCTAGAGTGCTGGACTTTAAAGTGGGGAAAAGAAGAAGAATCTGTTGGATTTTATAGCTGATTGGCTATAGTGGGTAAAAGGTAATTAAAATTTCCTTTTAGTTTCAAGTTGAGGAGTACCATTTCAGATAAAAAAATTAGATTGGTTTTCAATATTTCAAATTGCAAAATAGATGAAATTGAGAAAAGAAGTCCTAATGATATTAAACAGTTACACACAACACAACTTCATATATAAAGTTCTTAAACACACACACACACACAACATAGCTACACTGTTGGGAATATAGTAGGAACTTAATAAAAAAGTTGTTGGTTGATTCAGAGAGAATTTTTCTTAAAAGTTATAGCATCATTAATTATGTCAAGGAAAGATTTTTCTAATGTCTAAAAAGTTGGAACTTGTTCTGGAACATTATACATATTAATTAACAAGTATTTTTAAAATTCTAACTAAAAAACTTATATCAGAGACTAAAGGTAAAAACATTAGAAACAATTTACAAGTCAAGGAGATGGAAGATGGGAGAAGGAATGTAAACTAAAACTTTAATTTTAATTGATATCTTTGTGCAGGAAGCACCACTTTCATGCAAGAGAGAATGGTTTGGATTCCTTACCTTGT